CATACAAGCATAAACGCTTCATTGGTTATTGTTTCTTTCTTGTTTGTTGTTCAGTAAATTAAGAGCCTAAACCAAGCCCAATCGAAGCGAATTTTTATAAACGAACGCAATCAACACTTTTTTCTCAAAATTTTGTGCCTTTTTGACTAAATTAAGCCCCTTTTTTGAGAAAAATGAACCCAGAACACCTCATCCACAATAAAGAATCGTCTCTCATCTTCAGTCGCGCTTCCGCTCTTCCCCTCACCGGCCCTGATCTTCCATCTACAAACTGCCAACAACCGTTCTATCCACCTGCCCGAACTCTACTCTTTCCCGCTGGAAAAGTAATATTCACATACCTTGCCCTGCATTCTGCATCGACCCATAGCGTACCAGCCGGAATCTGAAATCACAGTAATTCTCGAGGACCAAAAATCAATTTACCCTGAACAAACGCAGCAGCGGTAGAACATCGCAACTGCATAATCCATTTACATAACAGTATCATAATAATTGGCCAATGCACGGGCTGCCCGTGCGAAGATGCGTTTTTTGCACAGTTCCCCGCAGTTTTTGTTGCTACCGACACCGGCTTTTTTGGCAAATGCTTCTAGCTAAAAAAATTAAGACTGGCCGCCAGAACCGTCAGAAAACACTCCTCAAAATTTCAGCTTTCTAGCTTCTCTGGCTCTTGAGTTAGCAACTTAATGGAAAAAAATTTTCACGGGCCCGTGCATGTTTACCACGCATACCCGAGAGTTGGGTTTGAGCTGAATGAAACTTAGGCGGGCGGGATATATCCTCTTAAAATTACAGTCCTTTAACTTCTCAGGTACTCGAGTTATCAACTTACCCGAAAAAATTTCGGCGGGCCCGTATGCGAGTACCACGCTTACTCGGAGACTGGGTTTGAGCTCACTAATACCTACTTGGACGGGGAACATCTCCCCCTAAAATTTCGGCTTTCTAGCTTCTCAGATCCCCGAGTATAGACTTACCCGAAAAAAATTTTGGCGGACCTGTATGCGGGTACCACGCGGGTAATGGCGCCCATTTTGGGGATGGGGGCCCGTAAGTGCATGCAGATTAAGTTCCCAAAGTTTCAACCCTGTAGCTTTTGTACATCTTGAGATGAAAAACCGTGACAGACGCACACACGGACACGCAGACAACCCCTCGTCAACATGCGTTTTCTGCATTGCATAGCTGCAAAAAGCGCATAAAAAAACATGCTAATATTACCCTTATTTCGCTACATTTCTAGCCGGTAAGGTACCTCATTGTGCTTCAGGAAATTGAAACATCAGAGGGTCACATTTTCCAACAACTTTTTTGAACTTTCTATTACTTTGACTAACCACCCTACTGCTTACCCACATACAGGACACTACTGGAAAGTCGAAAGAGATACAAAAAACGCTCTAAAAGCTAAAAAGCTAAAAAAAGCTCCAGTCCATTAAGTCATGAACATCTCAGCTTGGCACCACAACTGGACCTCATCAGTACGACGGCTGCCACTTTACCTTTTGATCAGCCTGGAAGCGATCTTGACATTTGTTTCGTCTCCTGAAGAGATTACCAGCTCAGTGGTTCTTTCAACAGAAGGGTATGGTAGGATTTTAGCAGCAATGCTTGAAAATACGATACTGCTTGCACTTTCTTATAACTCTGCTATTTTTTTAAAAACAACGAGGTTTTTTACTTGTTTGTGCTTGTGAAGTAAGAAAAGCTGAAAAAGAGAAGCATATTTGATTGACCAGTAAAACAGGACCCGAAATTATTTAATAAATCAGTGAAGCACAATTACATGCACCAAACAGAATAATCAACAGCACTGCCCATTTTAGAGACAGTGCAAACGAAGTGCTTCACAACTCCTTCCTCTTTGCATTTTCAGCACTGAAAATA